TGTATCTTCAGCAGTATTTACCTCTATTTACTTTAACTGTATCTTCAGCAGTATTTACCTCTATTTACTTTAACTGTTGCATTCCTCCCTGAGTCTTCAGCTGCCTTTATCTTTCCTCTGCCACCCCCCTCCTTTTGTATATTGTTTGCCCCATTACCCATGATAACATGCGTCTACCCTCTAACCCATGAGTAATTTTTCCTCTCCCTCTTTGTCCCTCCACCCCCAACCCCATGACCATCATAGAATGCTTCTTCTATCAAGAAAACCTTTTCCTTCTTCCGTTTGCTGCTTTCCTGTGTGGAAAACACTGTGGTGTTGGCATTATATATGTAAATGCAACGCCAAGCCCTAGTTAAAACAATAACATCACGATAAACGGAGAAAAGATTGAAGTTGTCAAAGGTTGCATTTTACTTGGACGCAGAATCAACAGTCTCAAGGAAGCAGCAGTGCAGAAATCAAACAGCCTATTGGATTGGGCAAATCTGCCAAAGATTTCTTTAAAGTGTTAAAGAGCAGATATGTCACTTTGAGGACCAAGATGCACCTGACCCAAGCCACAGTATGTTCAGTTGCCTCATACTGCAAATGTTGTTGTTGTGTGCTGTGGAGTCGGTTCCAACTCATAGCAACCTTATACAGGGTTTCCCAGGCTGTAAATCTTTACCGGAGCAGAAAGCCTCATCTTTCTCCCACGGAACAGCTGGTAGTTTCGAACTGCTGTCCCTGAGGTTCTCATCCTGATTCATAATCACTACGCTCCCAGAGCTCCTTCATATTGCAAATACTAGACAGTAAATAAGGGAGAGTGAAGAAGGACCGTTGCCTTTGAAGTACAGTGTTGGAGACTATTGAAGGACCACTGACTGCCAGAAGAAAAAAGAAATCAGTCTTTGACAAAATGCAGCCAGATTTCTCCTTAGAAGTGAGGACGGTGAGACTTTGTCTCCAACACTTTAGACATGTGAACAGAATCAACCAATCCCTATAAAAGGGCATTGTGCTTGGCAAATTAGAAGGTCACCAAAAAAAGACTCCCAACAAGATGGAGTGACACAGTGGCTGCAACATTGAAGATGTTCACAGAGCAACTGTGAAGATGCCCAAGTCTGGGCAGTGTTTCATTTTGTGCATAGGGTTACTATGAATCGGAACGCACTCAACACCACCTAACAAAGAGCCTTGGTGTTCAGTATTACTCTTAGTCTTACTGGACTGCCAACTGCAGGGCTGTGGTCCAGACCCCTCAGCCACCCCAGGCTGTCTGCTCCTGTAAGGATGTACAGTTCTAGAAACCTTGAAATGACACAATTAACTTGATGATAGTGGCTTTGTTTGCTTGTTTGTTGATTTTTTTCAGTTTTAAGACATGGCCTCTTCCACTGGGGGTGGGAAGCACAAAATGTCCAATCTTTCAGTAGGTCACAGATAATTAATTTGCATTGCCTATAGTCACAGTCCTGGTCTGTCGCTGTGGGCTTATGCATCAAACAGCAAAGTCGTTTGACCTGCAAGGTTGGTGGTTCAAGCTTCTTGGAAACCCTATACAGGGTCACTATGGGTCGGAATCTACTCGACGGCACTTAACAACATAGTCACAGTCTGGGTGTGGCACAATGGGTTAATGCGCCAGACTGCAAAGCCGTTTGAACTGCAAGGTTGGTGGTTCAAGCTCACCAGGTGCTCCTTGGAAACCCTATACAGGGTCGCTATGGGTCGGAACCTACTGGATGGCACGTCACAACAACAATAGTCGTCACTTCATTGCCTATAGTCGCTAGTGATCAATCCCTGCAAGGTGTATACCAATTACTGGGCAGGCTGCAGCCGGGAACCAAACAGAAAGTGTCACACTAACAGCATATCTGGGAAAGGCAGTAGACAGGGGTAGAGAAACTGGGCTACAGCAAATCCATGAAACTTAGGTGGGACAGCTTTTAAAGTGACTATTTCAAACAAAATGGTTAAACATGTCTCAGACTGTTGCCCTCCGGTGGTACGTTCACTTCACTGGTTGTACCCAAAAAACTGGGAGTGAGTTGTACGCGACCTTGGTCAAACCAGACACCATCATCACAAGCTGACTTTCAAGCACAAGCAGTTTATTGGCAAAGTGAAAGTACATTCTTCAAGTAGAGAATGGGTCTGGGTGGAGAAGAGTTTTATGATTTTGTAGCAATGGTTTTTGACTTACCCCCATATTGAGTGTCCCGCACAACTCAACTATGACCGTTAACTGTTTGAAACACTAACTTAAAAACAGGCAGAGAACTAGGCTTCACAGGGCAAGCCTTGCAGGACAAGGCCTGGACTGCTAAGTCGGTTTGAACCGCAAAGTCGGTTCAAACTCAGCAGCCGCTCCTCGGAAACCCTACACGGGATCGCTATGAGTGAGTGGAGCCTACGGCACGAACAGCTGCAGCAAATCCCAAGGTATCCAGGAAGACTGGCGAGCCCCCGGCGTCGCTGACGTCACAGAGCTGAAGACGTTACGCAGCCATTCCCTCCGCAGCCTGCGGCGCGGGGAGGCGGACGGTGGGGTTGATTGACAACGGTCCTTTGTTTTGGTTCCAGGAGTCAGGCGCTGCCTGGGCCTCGCCCGCGCCACGCTACGTCCCCTCCAGCCGCGCGCATGCGCAGTTGCTTCCAGACGCGGAAGCTTAGGGACGGAGAGAATGTCCCAGCGGGTGAGTGAGTTTCCGACTTTCAGGTTTAAACGTGTCCTTTACGGTCTCCGACCTCCACTCGTGGCTCCGGGGGTGGCTCGGGACGTTAAAGTCTCGACGCCCGCCCTTTTCCGACCCCACAGATCTCCGCGCGGCGGTGAGACGTTGCGGCCCTCGGGCTGCGCCGCCGGTTGTGCGTCCGCGGCGGTTTCTGTGTGAAATTGCGCTATGGTGGGTACCCGTCCCGGCCTGGCTGCTCTCGGGCCGTGGGGACGCTGCCGGCCGCGTTTTTCCTGCTGAAAACCCGGGTCTGGCCTCACCTCCCGCCCTGCGCCGGGTCACGTCCTCACCCGGAGACGGTTCGCCGGGGTCGAGCCCACCCCACACGGCCGACTCGGCGCTCAAGGGCTGCGCCAGCCCCGCATCCGCTCCCCGCAACCCCACTCCGGGGCCCTGCTTCCTCCTTACCCCCGTGTGCGAGGGGATCAGGCCCGCCCTGTGGTACCCCGTCATCTTTGCCCCCAAGCCCACCCTCTTTCCAAGCAGGAGGCGCCTCCTATCCATCCGTGTGCCTGTGTGGTCGATGGGTTCGGGGAAGAGAGCCGCCGAGAGAAGGAAACACTACCGAGGGAGGGCCACAGACAGATGGCCAAACAGGCTCGGGTGGGGGTGGGGGTGGGGGGGCGAAGGGGGGAAGGCTTGCCTAGAGACCATGAGAGAAAACACCGAGACTAGCAGGGAGAGGAAACAAAACGTAGCGAAAAGAGAAGGGTCTTGTGTAAATGCAGGGGAGCCGCAGAGGAGAGGCGCTTCCCGGTGCGGAAGGGGGCGCGATGAGTCCTGGCCGACTCAGTGATTTGATGCGGACACAGAAAGGAGGGCAGAGGGGAAATCAGCCGGAAGATCTGGAGATGGGGGACGGTCGGAACACTGGGGGTTAGAGCCACGAGAGGTGAAGCGGGCTATAAGCGTAGGTGGAGGACGAGGGGGAAGAAAGTGGACAGCTGAAACCGACAGGGCATCCCAGAAGGGGTGGGGAGAAGAAGGAAAGACAGCTCGGGGGACCTGTGGCTTTGAGAGAGACGTCTCAGCCGGTCAGAAACAGGCAGGCCCCGATCCAGAGGAGAGGTTCTATCACCTAATTCACTGAAAATTCGTTTAAATTGTAGCAAGGGGAATGGCAGAACTTATGTCAACCTTGTGTGTTCTGTCGGTGCTTGTATGTGAAGGTGTGGTTTCCGAGCCAGCGGGCAGAGTGGCTTGTGTCCCTCACTTCTGGGTCACCCTTCCTGAGTTGTGGGGGTAGGAGATAAAATGGGGCAAGAAATTACCGACTCTCACTACGTGGTGTCTTGAAAGGGAACATTGGCAGCTTTATTTTCTTTTCAGTGGGTGTATTTTATCTTAATAATTCATTGTGCTCATAGAAATTTAGTGAGATAAGTCGAAACTGAATTTCATCTGTATTCACTACTAAAATAAGCTTTACGACATCCCATAATGAGATCTGTGGAGAAATTATATATAGGAAAGCCTATCAGTTTAGGTCCCTATTCCTGTTGTTGCTAAGTACCATGGAATCAGTTCTGACTCATAGCAGCCCAGAATAGGGTTTCCGAGGCTGTAAATGTTTGCAGCATCAAAAAGATTCATCTTCCACGAGCGTCTGGTGGGCTCGGATCGTCTCGACCATGTGATTCATGTGGTGGTGGTGATGTGCCGTGAAATCGGTTCCGACTCATAGTGACCTGGTACAGGGCTTCCTCTTTCTTCCTCTTACCAAACAGTTGGTAGTTTCCTACTGCTGACCTTGTGGTTCACAGCCAGCTTCGTAACCACTACGCTACCAGAGCTCCTATGTGATTCATAGTCCACGCATATTCTCTGGAGCTACAGTGCTCTATCTTTCTCTCTTTTAAGATTTAAAACGGTCCGTTTATAAGGTTAAATTGTACCATATGTAATGATTGTGCATTCTACAAAAGCTTGATCACCTAGTTGACGGTAACAGCCAGGTTTTCCAGATTGGGCAGTCATCATTTTTCTCTGTCTGCGTAGACTTTTTATTAGCTGCTTTCTGCTTTCGTTGCATAATCTCAGAATCCCTCGGCTTTCTCTGAGAGGTAGTCGAGTTGTCCTCTTCTCTTTTTCCCTTGCTCATCTCCTGGGGCTTCTTCATGTTTTTCCAGCAGGCGAGTTCTCCTCTTGGATTTCCATGGGCCATACTGACCAGTGGACAAAGCCCAGAAGAGAGCGACTCAGAAAAAAAAATCGTTTTTTATACTTTGGCCTCTTTATTAATTTTATTTTTTATTTTCCAAATATTTTTCCCTTTAGATTTTTCTGTGTCCAGATCAGATTGCAAGGAATGATGTGGTATGGTACTGTAGGATAAGTACTGGACTGCTAACCAAAGGTTGGCAGTGCAAACCAACCACTAGGGAACTCCTATAGAGGGTTTCTGTGAGTGGGGATCAACCTGGCACTTATCAACAGCAGCCTGCTTTTTACGTAAAGCACTGGACTGCATGGTTGGTTTGAACCACAAGGTTGGCAGTTCAAACTCACCAGCTGCTCCTTGGAAAACCCTATACAGGGTCGCTGTGAGTCAGAACCGACTCCATGGCACATCACAAGAATAAGAACATATTGGGAACATTCTCTGGTACCTCACCTGGTAGAGTGAAGCTTGTAAGAGCTGAAACTTGAATAAGGGACGACCTTATTCTTTTGGGTCCTGCAAGTTTTCCACCTTTGACGCGGGGTGCAGCCTTACCACTCCAGTTGTTGTTGTTATGTGCCATGGAGTCAGTTCCGACTCATAGTGACCCTGCACAGGGTTTCCGAGGCTGTAAATCTTTACGGGAGTAGAAAGCCTCATCTTTTTCCCACGGAACATTTGGTAGTTTTGAACTGCTGACCTTGTGGTTTACAGCCCGATTCGTAACCACTGTGCTACCAGAGCTCCTTTAGTGGGAAATTTTTGAAGTGCAAAATAATTTGAATTTTCCTTCTCTGACAGGTTTCACTTTATACAAGTTCTGGCTTTTGCAGGTTTTACTGTAAATAAGGTTAGACTATATCAGTGTGCAAGGAGCTCTGTTAGCATAGTGGTTACAAATCAGGCTGCTAAGCTCACGGTCAGCAGTTCGAAACTACAAGCTGTTCCGCAGGAGAAGAATAAGGCTTTCTGTTCCCGTAAAGATTTACAGCCTCAGAAACCCTGGGCAGCGTCGCTATGGGTCAGAACCGACTCCATGGCACATCACAACAACGTATCAGTGTGTACTTTGCAAGATGGCACTAATGTTTTATAGTAACAAACAAGACCTAGTTTAACCAGTTAGTGTAATAATGCCATTTTCTTCCCTTCTGCAGTCTGTTAAGGGACAGAGTTGTGAGGTGCTTGGTAGGTGTTTGGCTCAGGTCCTTGTCCTTCCTCTACAAATGTTGAAGGACAGGTTGGATTGACTTGGAACCTTGTTCTGAAAGAGCCTGTTATGATGAAGCAATTTGCTCAGAGCTTATGTCCAAAGCTGAACCTTCCTTCACTCAACAACATGTTGTGTAGTTGATCACAGCCTCTTCCTGGAAACACCTTTTTCTTGACTGTAGGACATCACAATGTTCTTTAAATGTCCACCTCTCTGTGTGCTGGTTTCAGTTTTCTCCTTTTCCTGGTTATGTGTCAGTTTCCTCCTGTAATTATGAATCTCCTGGTGTCTGAAACTGGGAACACCAGGGTACAGTCCTTGGACAAGCTCTTCTCTGTCTACACCAGGGGTGGGGAACCTTTTTTCTGTCAAAGTTTAGAACATCATTTGCAGGCCATACAAAACTATCAACTTAAAAATTAGCCTGCTATATTTGGTCAGACATTTCATTAACTCACTTCTAATGTAATGGCTGGAGTCCTGGGGTGGCCTTGTGGGTCAATGCACTGGACTGCAAAGCCGGTTTGATCCATACGATGGGTGGTTCAAGCTCACCAGCTGCTCTTCGGAAACCTTGTACAAGGTCTCTATGGGTCAGAACTGACTGGACAGTACTGACAGCAATGTGATGTCTGGAACTGCGGGTGCCTTGGCAGGGCCAGACCAAATGATTACAAGAGGCCTTACACAGCCCGCTCCTAGGCTAGATGTTTCCTCACCCTTAGTCTACACCCACACCTTTAAACACCTGATGATTCCCAGTTACACCTCAGTTTCTGCTCTTCATTTTCTCCACCACCCCTGTCTCCCTGCCTCCGCTGTTTCTTCCCTTGCCTCTAGTTTGCCTCCTCTCTTCCTCTACCCTTTCAGGCCCATTTCTGCAACCTGTTACACATCTTGTTCTGCCCCCTGATCTTTGGTTTTCCCCCTCCATATTTTTGTGCTCCTCCTCTCTTCTCCGTCTCTGTCCCTCTCTCCCCAGAGATTGTCCTTCAGAGATAGTCAGGGTGGAGTGCAGGCTCAAGAAAAGTTAAAGTGCCTGGTGATTCCAGCATTGAGTCCTGAGACTCAGGGTCATTCTTGGTGAAGACTGAACCCAGTCTGTGATCCCTGGGGAATGGGGGGCTCTGCTCTGTGGGGTACCGTGTCAGGGCCAGGGTCGTGATCTGAAGGAGGAGCTCAATCCGCCCAGATCTACTGTAGCTGAGTGTGGGCTTCCCAGGAAGATGGGCTAATAGACTCACCTGTTGGTCTCCATGTCCCTGAGTCTCTGCTGGGACAGTGGGCAGTCAGAACCATCGTTTCCCCATGGTGAGGTCCTCTGTGTGTGATTTTGTGTGTGTGTATGTGTGGTTGTGGCACAGGAAGCGGGTATGCTGATTGCAACCATTTTAACAGCATGTTTCCAACCTTCAGGATTGACTGCTCAAAACTGATCTTTCCCGAGAAAGAAGCCCAGAGGAGGGAGGAAGGAAGAAGCATCGGAATGGCTCTGTCCCAGGTAATGGTCACGTTCTCACGTTCTCCCTGGGTGTCTATCCTTCATCCTCTGTCTGTGTTGTGTCCTGCCTGAACACGTGCACACTCACCCAGCACTGTGCCTCATGCTCTCTCCCCTCCACACAGATTAGGGACGGGGAACTTGTGAAGAGGCTCCATTTGGGGAGCATCCTGGGAAGGGCTACACACCAGGCTTGGGTGTGAGGCAGGGGAGTGGTCTCCATGTGGGCCGCGAAGGTGGGCAGCAGGGATAGTTTATGGGGCTGTATCTGGAGTGCTGTCAGTTCTCCGTGGAGCTGATTGAAGTGAACCCAGCCCAGTGTAACCCCTTGCCATCAGATTGCCTCGTCTCCTTGCGACCCTGTAGAGCAGATTAGAATGGGCTCTTGGGGTCCTCAGCATAATCTTTAAGGGCTGAAATTGAGAGGTCTTTCTCATGGTAGGTTCTCATAGGTTCAAACCACTCACTGTTGAGTTAACAGTCAAGTACTTAACCACTGAGCCACTAGGGCTCCCTAGCATTAGAGTAACTGCACATTTATGTGCTACACTGATGGGTAGGAACAGCTGGAGACTGATAATTGTATAGTGCATTTGAAGCTAAGCAAATGAATTAGATGTTTCTGGTTTCAGAGTGTTCATGATTTGGCACTGATGGGCAGTTCAGTAATAGACATCAGTGATGTCTATACTATAAGGAGCCCCCTTGTGTGGCCTCTTTGCCCAGGATTTGTGGGAGAACAAAACAGTCTGGGAGATTTCCTGAGTTGATGAGCATTTCCTGGGAAAGCTGTAAACAACTTGTTTTTGTGTTAGACTTGTTTGTTTGCCCTGCCTGGGTAATTGACAAGCCTGAAGTGATGGACAGTTTGTGAGTAATCAAAGGATGGTTGACCTTTGCTCCTTCCTGCTAAGAGGATTGGTTGGGCTTCAGTCAAGCACATTTTTATTGAAATCTCACAGGTGTCTTTTTGAGTGTGGTTTGCCCTGCATTTGTGCAGTCACTGAGGTCTCTAGGTTACCATGGTAATGTGTCACAGTAGGAATTGTAATAAGCAATCTGTGATCATGTCTTTTTAGTAAAACCCATTACTATTGAGTTGATGCCAACTTAACAGCTACCCAATAGAGGAGAGAGGAACTGCCCTGGAGTCTTTACAGAAACAGCCTAGCACATCTCTCTCCCGAGGAACGGCGTGGTGTTTTTGAACCACACTGACCTTTCAGTGATCATTAAACCACTGCTCCCGTAGGTCTCCTATGACCTCCAGTCCAGTTTGATCTCATTTCTTCACACTGTTGTTGTTATAATGCTGTCAAGTTGGTTCAGACTCATGGTGACCTTGTATAGGCTTTCCAAGGAACAGCTGGTGGGTTTTGAACCACAGACTTTGCAGTGCTTACCCTCCAGCACCACACCAGGACTCCTATTTCTTCATATCCATCTGGGAAAGTCTTATATGTAGGTATGATGATATACGAGGAGGCTTCCAAAAGTTCAGGGAAAAATAAATGAAAAGTTAATGGAATTTGTCCATGAACTTCTTGACGTCCCCTCATATTTGCTAATGGAAATACTGGATGTTTTTAGGATTATTGTGGATTTGAGTTGTTTTTTAACTACTACAAGTCCAGAGGTGCAGTGGTTAAGCGCTCAGCTGCTTAATGGAAAGGTGTATGGTTCGAATTCACCAGCTGTGCCACCGCACACAGCGGTGACAGGCTTCTGTGACGATTGAAGCCTTGGGCACCGTCTCAGGCAGTTCTCAGTCCTGTAGGCTTGCTGGGAGTGGGAATTTTTTGCTTATTGCTAAAGAGTAAAGATTGTTTTCAGTATACTGTTCCTAGTTCTTGTAGTTCAGATACATTCTTTTTGAATGCTGCAGGCCTGTCAGCTGTGAATAATAACCGTTCTTTTCCTTTGATGGTCTTTTTCTGTCTTTCCTTTGTCCTGGTTGCAGGCTTCCTGTCCAGCAGGGAATGGCAGGCTCCCTCTCTTTACTTTTAGTGGAAATGCTCGAGTGTTTGCTGACTTTTTCTTGCTTAGTAACAGTGTGGGTTTTTGTTGTTGTTGAATATTCTATTCGGCGTGATTTTAAATATGTGGTGCTGTAGATGTAAGCACTGGACTGCTAACCACAGATTGAAGTTCAAACCCACCAGCTACTCCTTGAACATACTATACATGTTTGCTATAAGTCAGAATCGACTTGAGGGCACTTGATAACAACATCAACAATAATTTCTCCAAGAATCAGCTGCTGGGATAGATATTTGCTCTATTTTAGCCCTTTCAATTAACATATAACATCAATAGATGTTCTAACCCTGAATTACTTTTTTATTTGTAGATTATATTTGTTTATGTCCAGATAGGTCAATTTAAACGAAAACAGTTACATGTTTGTATTTGTGTTTTGAGTTAGTTTTCTGTAATTGTGTTTTTGTAGAATATTTTTAATAACCCAAGAAAAAAGACTGTTCACAAATTTCCATTTATACGTGTTCTCTGCATCAAAAATACTGAAATACATATGAGCAAAAAATACATATGAGCAAAAATGATAGGTGAGGAAAATTCATTCAGAAGAAGTCATTCATAAACAACTCTTGATTTCATGTGCCTTGTGTTTGTGTGTGAGTGCGTGAATGTGGTTCTTTAGAAAAGACACCTTAGCATTGTTTAATGCATAGTTTGTTTTTTATCACCTGACTAAGTATGTCTTAGTTCTTTTCCATGTCTTAATTTTTTCTACAGTATAATGTTAGCAGGTTAATAGTACAAAGCGTATTAACAGATTCCATGTTTGCATGGGTATGCACGTATGCATGCTAACCTTTTATCTAGTTTTATGTTGGTGCCTGTGAACTTATATGAGATTTTCTTTGTGGTCTTCCTTAGGCCGTATCTCTTAACCGATATTCAGGCCTGAGTGCTTGGGTAAGCTACTTGCTCCACTGCTTGTGAAGTTGTTTGGCTTTAGACACAGCTTTTAGTCTCTGCCACAGCTTTCTCCTGTAAAGTAGGAAGAGATGGTTCTCACGTGTCACTATGTTGTTCAGTGGGTTAGTGCACGTCAAGCCTTTAGAATAATGGTGGGGGGTTATAGTTAGGTGCTGTTGGTCCTGACTCACAGTTGCTCTACACAACAACGCAACACTGCTAATTCTGCAGGACCCTCGGAGTTGTTGGCATGTCTCATTCCATTGTTGCAGCCATGATGTCGGTCCATCTCGTTGGGGTCTTCCTCTTTTTCTCTGACCCTCTGCTTTACCAGGCATGTTGTCCTTTTCTAGTAACTGATTCTCCTGGTAACACCTTCAAAGTCGATGAGATGACGTCTCGCCAGCCGCACTTCTAGCAAGCATTCTGGCTGTACAGACAGATTTGTTTGTTCTTTTGGCAGTCCGTGTTTGTTGTTGTTGTTGTTAATTACCACGGAGTTGGTTCCGACTTATAGTGACCCTGCACAGGGTTTCCAAAGCTGTAACTCTTTATGGGAGCAGAAAGCCTCATCTTTCTCCCGCAGAACAGCTGGTATAGTACTTTCAGGATTCTTCTCCAACACCACAATTCAAATGCATCCTTTCTTCTGTAGTCTTTATTGTTTGTTGTCCAGCTAGAATAATGGTTGTTAATTACGGTCAAGTCAGTTCCTACTTATAGCAACTCTGTATGAGGTTGCTGAGGAGCAGCTGGTGGGTTTGAAACACCAGCCTTACAGTTAGCAGTCCATTGCTTATCCTTGTTGTTGTTAAGTGCCGTCGAGTCGGTTCTGACCCATAGTCATCCTGTATAGGGCTTCCAAGGAGCTGCTGGTGAGCTTGAACCACCGACTTTGTGGTTCACACAACTTTGCAGTCCAATGCGTTAGCCCACAGCGCTGATGCTTACCTTTGGCAGATGGTTAAGTACCCACACAGTGTGAGTTGTTGCTGTAGTCATTGTCTTCACGATATTTAAAGTCACAGTGGGCTCTGTTGTCACTGAATATATCACTCCTCTGCGGTCACTCATCGGAAAACCCGTATCAGTATCACGTGGTGTGCAAAACCACTGCCTCCCACTCATGAGGTGGAGTAATGCAGTGACTGCAACATTGGGCCCCAACCTAGCAACAGCTGTGAGGGTGATCGAGGACCCGGCAGTGTTTCCTTGTGATGTCCCAGGGGAATGATGAGTCGGAACCAACTCGGTGACATCTAACAAGAGCACTTTCACTTAGATGACCCGGTGGCATTTTTTTTCACTTGTGTATGTATTTCTCTTATTGTCTTCAAAGGTGCCATCCCCAGTAATTTAATAGATTTCATATCCCTTGATGAAAGAGTGTTGTTGTTGTTAAGTGCCATCAAGTGAGTACTGACTTACAGCGACCTTGTGCACAACAGAATGAAACACTGCCTGACCCTGACCCTGGGCCAACCTCCCGATTGTTGCTACATTTGAGCCCATTGACGCTGCCACTGAGCCAGTCCATCACGTTGGTTGTCCTCCTCTTTTTCTTTGACACTCCCCCCCTACACACACACTTTGGCAAACATAATGTCCTTTTCCAGGGACTGGTCCTTCCTGACAATATGGCTACAGCGTGTACAGCGTGAGAGACGAAGTCTGGTCATCCTGGTTCCGAGGAGCGCTCCAGCCGTACTTCTTTCTACACAGATCTATTGGTTTTTTGGGAGCCCCTGGCACTTTCACTCTTCTCAGTTTATTGTACTGGGGTGGCTCATGTGTTGCTGTGATTCTGGAAGCTGTGCCACTGGTATTTTAAACACCCGGAGGGTGAACCATGGTGGGCAGGTTTTAGACGAGCTTCTAGACGAAGACAGACTAGGACCACCACTCGTCTGTCAGATGAAACAGTATAATAGAACAAAATTGTTGTTGTTAGCTGTGACTGAGTTGGCCCCTGAAGGGGACCCCCATCTCATGCATATCGGGATGAAACACTGGTAAATCAGAAGATCATTGTGATGTTAAAATTTTAATTGGCTGATTTTTAGAAGGAGATTTCCAGGTACAACATTATCTTTTGTTAATCTGTCAGAATGACCACGACAGCCTAATTGATTCTTGTACCATAATCTCTTTCCTTTTACATGTGGGTAAAAAAAATCTTTCCATGTCCACATGGTGAGATGTGTTTTTCTTTACAGGAACTGCTGACGTTCAGGGACGTGGCCGTGGAATTCTCTCAGGAGGAGTGGGACTGCCTGGATCCTGCGCAGAGGGCTCTGTACTGGGACGTGATGTTGGAGAATTACAGTAATCTGGTCGCCCTCGGTGAGCATACCATCCCTCCAGAAGTCAGGATCTGCCTTTGTGTATTTTGTGCTTTCCCCATGAGTTTTTTGGAGGCCCCGCCATGTTTGATGAACTCTGAAATCTCTTGGTTTTGAAGCTGATTCAGAAATGAAAAGCTTCATAAACAGCCTCTGGTCTCTCCTGCCACCCCTCCTCCCCACCGTTCTCCCAGTGACCAGCACACTTCACACCAGAGCAGTGCTTTTTTCCAGAGCTTTGTTAAGTAAGCACTACACCATATAGCTAAGTTTCACGTAGGCCAGTCTCTGCCTTTACTCCTGTCCTTTAGATGCAGTGGTTTCTGGAGGAGAGCTGGATGATCTGCATGTTTATAATATTAAGCATTCTAAAATGCTCTTTGAAAATACTGTTCTGGAGACAGACTTTTGTGATGTTCCCAGATTAACAGGCAGCTTGGATCGTGTTCTCAAAAAAACTGCTGCACATTTCTTTTTCTTGTAAGCAGAAGTCTCTCTTTCTGAGATGAATATTGTCTCCATTCTGAAGAAAGGAACAGAGCCCTGGACTGTGGAGAACGAGATGAAAATAGTGAAAAACCCAGGTAAGTCTGATTGTATGGAGATGCGGAACATAGGTAAAAGCTCAGTTAGGTAGCGGGGAATTCATAACATCCAGTGTGGTTTTGGAAACTCCCTAGATGGGAAAACAAAGCTTCATTTCATGTGATCTCTCAACAGAAGTGTTTCTTCCTCCTCTGTCCCTATTTCCACGATGTATCGCTCTTCATGTCTGTACAGTTCATCGTCTTTTTCATCCAGTCATGTTCAGGTCAAACAGAGACACAGGCAGACTCTGTATTATGGCCTGGGGGGCTACTTGGTGCCTTGATTTTCAGAGTGATTGGGAGGACTGTTTGGGGGTCTTCTTGCCCACATGGCTTCTCCTTCGGTCCTTGATTCTGTCAGATCTTGAGTCCTCAGCCCATTCAAGTCAAAGCGCAGGCCTCTGTGGTCCTGGCCCCTGGACGGATGCAAATTCCATTCTCATTTCATGTACTTGGAAGACCTTCTTTCTCATTGGCTGCTCTTCCATTGCATGTAGGGCCCCAGCAAATCACATGATGTTTGTCTTAAGCCATTTCTGTGTGTGTAGGCCTCTCACTGTTGCTCCACTTCAGCTTCACGTACTTCAGAGGGGTATGTGAGAGGTGGGAATTGCCACCTGTGGGCTTATTTCTTTCTTTCGTTGCAGACCAACACCGAGGATGCAAGAAACTCTCTTGTTTCTTCCTCTGCCCTTGGAATTCCTGGGTGTGTTCGTTTTCTAGCGCTGCTATATCAGAAAAACTGCAGATAGTTCACTTTAGCAAACAAAAACTTATTTTCTCACTGTTCCGGAGGCTTGGAAGTCTTGAGTTCAAGGATGCTGGGTCTAGGGAACGTGTCTCTGCCTGTGGTGGGTGAAAGCGTCCTTTTCCTTTCTTCCCTCTTCTCGGCTTCTTGGTGATCATCATGTGGTGTGGCATCTACTTTGAGCCATCTCCCCTTAGTGATCATCATGGTGGTTCTGACTTCTAGTAATCCTGCATAGGGTTTTGGAGGCTGACCTTGTGGTTAGTAGCCCAACTTGTAACCCGCCACACTACCAGAGCTCCTCACTGTAGGTGTGATTCTGTTGTTATGTGCCATCGAGTCAGTTCTGACTCCTAGTGACCACCCTGTACAGGGTGGGTTTGAACTGCCAGCCTTGTGGTTCACAGTCCAGTGCTGATCCTGCAGCGCTACACCAGGAGTCCCGGCTGTAGGTATAGTACTTAGAATTTACACCACGTATTTTGCAGGGGAACACAATTTCAGTCTCTCACACTGAATAATTGATTGCACATGAAAATGCATTACCTTTGCCATGTTCTGCCCAGTAACTGACAAGGAGCCCTCCTGAAGCATGCATGTGGTTGTTATGGGTAATTGCCTTCCAGTTGTTTCCTACTCACGACCCCATATGTGAAGAGTAGGTGTGGTCCATAGTGTTTTTAAGGCTGTGACCTTCTAGACCCAGATTGCCATGTCTGTCTTAGGAGGCACTCTGGGTAAGACTCAGATGCCAATCTTTTGGCCAGTAGTAGTTCAAACTTACCCAGAGACTCCTGAAAGATGCGGCCTGGCTGACATGGGGCTTCCTCTGGACCTGGAAGTCCTGTGCTGAAACCTTCCCAGACTCAGGCGAGAGCTGCTGCAGTGAGAGGTGGAAGAGCGGGGCTGTCCCGGCTGAACAGGGCCACACAGCAGTGACCAGACAAGACAGGGTGCGAGGCCCAGCCGGTGTGCCCATCTGGTAGGCAGATGCTTTAGAATATGAATGGGGACACACGGCAGTGACCAGAAAAGACAGGGCGTGAGACCCAGCCGGTGTGCCCATCCGGTAGGCAGATGCTTTAGAAAATGAAAGCTATCAGCTATAAATCAGGGACACCTAAGTAGGATATACACAGCAATGCCAAAGCGTCAAGGTGTTAACAAAAAATACGTGAAGTAAACACAGATGGTGGTTTCTCTGTAAGCCACTCCCCACTGATTTGTGAATCTCTGGTTTTGTCATTCTTTTACAAAGGAAAAGGTTTCTACACTGCTGTATGCAGTCATTGCACTTGACCTTCTTGACTACAGTACACTCGTCAATTCTCTTGCAAAGCTTGACATACCTCACCCCGATGTCTCCAGAAAGTCAGCTTGTCGTGTTTCCAGCGGCCTTTAATGCTTCGTGGTCTTGCGAAGTCCCTTACTCACTGATGGCAAAGCTTCTGAGAGTACTCCTTGCTCACAGCAGTCACGTATAGACAGAGTTTCCTCATCTAATCCAGTATTCAGAATTCTTGAAATCTCATGCAGAGTCTCCGTGGTCTGCCTCACTGCATTCAGATTTGCTGTGGCCGCCACCACCGCTGCTCAACAGGGCTGAGGCCACTCTGGCCAAATGAGGCAGGGAAGGGCCAGAGCCGGAACTCTGAAATACACAGTCTTAGAACCTGGAACTTCACCTGCCTTTTCTCCTCTGTCAACCTCCTCTTGTGGTACTAGACAAGTTCTGGTGACTTACCCTTAGAGGAAGTTACTAACTAGGTAACAGAAAATTCTTGAAGGAGAACATATTGATTCATATCTTTCCGTATATGCCTGTTGAAGCCACTAGGGGCAATGAGCACATCTTTGGATGCTGTGAGATAGAAAGTATGATGAGAGCCAGACTACTCAGTAATTGCAGATTTTCCTGATTTGGGTGGAGTGTCACAGTATCTTTCAAAGGCAACATGGCCACCTTGATCAGTTACCATCCCATAGTGCCTCCAGTCTGAGGTGCTGGGATTTATCCTTGGAGAACATGGTCCAGGTTCACAGCCTTGTGTCTGTGAGTCTGTCCACTTTCATTGTTCATCCCAGGAGTGTGCTGTTATTAATTCTTCTTTATAAAATATGATTTTGGCAGGAGCTTTTGAAGTGGAATGATGCCTGTGTTTTTTAATGCTATTGTAATTTGGATTTTAAATGTTTTTTAAGCCATTTAACACCACTTCCATTATCTCAAGCATTTCTTGGTATTGTAATTGAACTTGTTTCTTTTTAATCATTTGTTACATAATTTTGATGATAGCCTTAGTATTCTGTTTTATTTGTTGGGCTCTGAGATAAAGGAATGAGTATTGTGTTTCTATTTTACCAGATTCCCTTGAGTGTTAGTGATTAGCAGCCATTTAAAAAAAAAAAAAAACCCTCCAGGATTTTGTGAAAAGATGCTCTTAGTTATTCCTTTTATTTTTATTTCCCCTGAATTAGTGCCCACTATTAAAGGTCATAACCACAACATTAAAGTTCACATTTCCCAGTGAATTGAATTTTTCAAGTTGGAAATTTTGAATCGATAATGTTCTTTTTTAAATTAACTTATTGTATTAATATGGATATTTATAAAACCAGTAAGATGAGTTGTAATAATTTGTTAAAAAAATTAATTGCTTTTTCTATACTATGCCTTAAGTTTTCTAAAGATTATGCCTTACGTTTTCTAAAGATAATTTAATGCAATGTGTTAAAATTCAGTGAGGCTTTTTTTTGAGGGGGGAGGGTACACATGTTTTCGAAACTTATGAGCTGTTCCACAGGGGAAAGATGAGGCTTTCTGCCCCCGTAAAGATTTACAGTCTCAGAAACCCTGTTCAGGGTTGCTATGAGTCAGAACTGACTTCACGGCACATAACAACAACACAACAACACATGTTTTATTAATTATTCTGTTTCGATTCTTCATCATGTATGTCTTAGAATATCAAACTAATATTTAAATATTTTCCTTTTTGCAGTAACAGCCAATTTCTTGCACTTCACTACTGTTGCTTATAATACTTTGATTTTCCACAAAATTTCTAAATGTCTTGAAATTACATTATTCATATAACGTTACAAAGATGGGTTTGGACCTCTTTGTTCCTGAAATCCACCTTGGGTCTAATATTTACCTGCTCCATGCTGACTCAGATTCCAGCGGTGTCTGTATTTCTCTGGCCATCTTTGAGGGCTTTGTTGTTGACTAACACCCCCACACACACACACTGGCTCCTCACAGTCCCACACAAGATTGCTGTGAGTTGGAACCAACTCAACAGCAACACCTCTGGTCCCTGTGAAACTGCCTGCTTTGTTTCTACATGAAACTAGCACACCGCCCTCTGTACACACCAGTCTGCATTCTTGCCTCATTTATTTGCCGCTGTCGATCTCTGTAGAGGGCTGCCTTGGCTCAATGGTAGAATTCGGACTTTTTACGCTGGATACCCGGGTTTGACTCCCTGCCAGTGCGCCCCAAGCTGTTAACACTAGTCTGTCGATGGACGTTTGCACATTGCTGTGATGCTGTACTGAGACAGACTAGAAAGAAATGCCTGGTGATCTATTGCCAAAAATCCATCCGTGAAATCCCTTTTGATCGATTCTGTGGTTTGTGGGGTAGCCACTAATCAGGCAGGGATTAACCTGGCTAACAGTAAAAACAAGCAGAATTATGTGGGGAATTCATCACTTAGTAATTTTGTTCAAGTGCACATTAATTTCCATTCATTTGTACTTACATTTGTATATACCAGTCATGGGCGCATCCCTCACTTTGTGTCTCTTTAATTGCAGGATTGTGTTAAATCGAAATAAATGATAACACGTATTTTGAGTGGGCTTCCTTGAAAGTAGTTTGAATAGTGTGTGATCAACCTTTCTTTAGTAAGGAATCATACTAACTTTGGGTCATTAACACTGGGAGGTTATGATTTAGAAGTTACACAGATATGTTCATTATAAGGATTGTTTTTGGAGTATTACTGGTTTTCAGTTCAGTATAAGACGCTTTCTAACTGTAGCTAATAGGAATGTGTTTCTATCTTTTTGTAGATGCCACTCCTGCATATATGATTGAGGAATTATCACCAAAAGAGCTCATTAATAAAGGAGAATTATTGCAGGCAGAGATGTTAGAAAGAAGTGAGCGTCACGGCATTGAGGATTTTAACTTCAGGCAAGTCAGAGAAAATATGCCTGAGCCCGAGAGTCAATGGGAAGCCAGTGAAAGAAATGACAGAGGAGTGACTCTGACCCCTCACAGTGACATCACTGGGACAAGAGATGAAGAGAGCAAGTATGTAGAGGGCTTTGAGACTAACTCTGGAGGAAGCTTTCAGTCACACAGGCTTGAACTGCAGCACAGATTTCAAACTGCGGAGAAAATGTACGAATGTAAACAAGTTGAGAAGTCAGCCCGCCATGAGTCTTCAGCCTCACCATTTGAAGGGAGCCCTAGTCTCCAAACCAACATCTTCAGTGAATATGGAGAGGTTTTCATACATCCTTCATTACTTCCACAGCATCAGAAAACTCACATCACTGAACCGTTTTACAACTACACTGAATGTGGCATGGATTTTAACCAAAGGTCGCTGTTCACTAACCTTCAGGGAATTCATTCTGTGCAAAGTGTTTACAAAGGTAATGAGTGTAACAAAGCCTTTAAGTGTGGACCAAATATCACTACTACGGGCGAGACCCCGTATAAATGTGAGGTCTGTAGTAAGTTCTTCCGTCAGAACTCAAACCTTGTGAACCACCTGAGAATTCACACCGGGGAGAAGCCTTACAAATGCACCGAGTGCGGTAAGGCTTTTAGATGGCGCTCGGTCCTCACTAAACATCTGCGAATCCACACAGGAGAGAAACCGTACAAGTGTATTGTGTGTGACAAGGCTTTCATCCAGAGAGCCAACCTGGTAAAACATCACCGCATTCACACTGGAGAGAAACCTTACAAATGCAATGAATGTGGTAAGGCTTTTATCAATAATTCAAGCCTTGTTGAACACCAGAGAATCCATACCGGAGAGAAACCTTACAAATGTAACGATTGTGGCAAAGCCTTTAAGTGGGGCTCCAATCTCACTAGCCATCTCAGAACCCACAACGGAGAGAAACTATTTAAATGTAACGTATGTGGCAAGTTCTTTAGTCAGAATTCCAGCCTTATAACTCATTACAGAATTCATACTGGAGAGAAACCCTATGAATGTAATTACTGCGGGAAGGCTTTTATCCATAACTCAAGTCTTGTGGAACATCAGAGGATCCATACTGGAGAGAAGCCTTACAAATGTAAGGAGTGTAGCAAAACCTTTAAGTGGGGCTCAGTCTTCGCTAAACATCAGAGAATTCATACTGGAGAGAAGCCCTATAAATGTAATGTATGTGGCAAGTTCTTTACTCAGAGTTCAAGTCTTACCACGCATTATAGAATTCACACCGGAGAGAAACCTTATGAATGCAATGAATGTGGCCAGGCTTTTATTCACAGTTCAAGCCTTGTGTATCATCAGAAAATTCATATTGGTGAGAGACATTACAAACGCGTTGAAAGGGCCCGGACATTTGCCCCAAGTGCGAGCTTGATGGAACCACAAAGCGCACACGCTGGAGAGGGTACTTTCAAGTGTGGTGACTGCGGTAAGGAATTCGTACACTCGTACCAGTCCGTTCATGAGCGAGTCCGCACTGGAGAGGAAGTTTACAAATGTCATGAGTGTTGGAAAGCCGTAAATGTGGCCAGTTTCCCAGTAGATATCAGTGACTCAGTTATGGAGCAAAGTTATATAGATGTGAAGTATGTGGCAGAGCCCCTGGGTGACACCAGTGGTTAACTGCCCAGCGGTAACGGAACAGTTGCGGGTTTGAGGCCACCCAGAGGCCACTTAGAAGACAGACCTGGTATTCTCCTGAAAATCAGAGCTTGGAAACCCGATGGAGAACCGTTGTACTCTGACCCACGAGGTCTCCGTGAGTCGAAGGTGACTTAATAGCAGCTGGTAATGTATGTGGCCGAGTGTTTATTCAGAGCTCCAGCTTTACTGATCATCTAAATGTGTTCCTCCTCCTCCTCTTAGGGTTTCTTGAACCCACTTTATCCTAATTTATCTCTTTAATGTACATTTCTTCCCTCTGTCCTTCCAGGGAGATTATACACAACAAGGGGTTCTTGTGAGGGCTGTGACAAGGACATGCACCTAGGACGAGGGTGAATACAAAGTACACACTCTAGAAATGGAACCAGGCCAGTCCCTTTATGTCTTCCATTCAGTGAATTAATGTGAAAAGGTGAATGTTCATGACTTTCCCTTAAGAATGAACGTACACAATGGAATTTTTATTTTTATTACTCTTGCATAAGGAACTTGGCATATTCATCTCTCATATCGCCTTTGTTGATTTCCACTGGTGGCCAGTCTACAGGAACAGGACAGACTCTGATTTTCTCAGGAATGCCTTAATAAAAACCACACACTGAGTAGCTGAAAACTACAGAAAATTACTTTCAATTTTGGAAGTCACAAGAAAAATCACAAGGTAATGGCAGGGTTGGGTCCTCTGAAAAGCTCTGAGGGAGAGAATGCCCTGTGCCTCCCCGAGTTTTTGGTGATGGCCAGAATGTTTGGCATTCTTTGACTTGATGTAGGAATCATGCCTTCTTGTCGTCCCCCTCCTCCCGTCTTCTCATGGTGACCTCTATACGTGTCTCCCTGTTTTTCCAGTCATAAAGAGATAAGGCTCCACCCATATGATCTGAGCAAATTGCATCTGCATTAACACTGTTTTCACCTGAGGTCCCGTTCACAGGTGCTGACAGTGAAGACCAGCACATCTTGTCATCCATCCCCAGCACCCAGCCAGAATCCCCATCAGAAGCTGTTATGGGTACCAGTATTAATGATCTCACATACCGCAGGGTATGGAAATGTTTATAACAATAGGAGATCAGTAGAGAGGGATGGGTTTGGCCTTTCATGGTCATTAGGAAGTAAGGGAACAGGCATGTGGATTGAACTTCCTGGTGTTACCGAGAGACCATGTGGGCTGTTTCATCAGTTTACCCAAATGTGGAGCAGAAAGGGAAGAGTGAGGAATAAGGCTTACAAGTTGTCAGTAGTCAAGACGTCAAAATGTGGAATCGGGTTCCTTAATACAACACCAAATGTTTATCCTGCAAGCGCCTGACTCCTTGGTTGGGAAGGCCCACAGTTTTCTACGTGACAATAACTTAATGCATGCCCCGTCCTGCTCTAGACATTGGCCTTTTTGCACAATATGACTGTTAAAAGGGTTTGTAAAATACTTTAGATAAACCGCCTAGGGTACTTCTATAGTGTCATGAGAATTAACATCAGAAGTACTTACTAAGTTCTACATGTGACTCAGTAACTATACTTGAAAAGCTGTTTTTCAAAGACTATGAGTATATTCATTTGAGATTTTATTTGCGATTATTAAGGAATATGTTACGGTTTTCTTTTTCAGTTCCCTGACTTCAAATAGCTTATATTCAGCAATATATTGGTAAGTCAGCAATAATTGGATAGCATCTATGGAAATAAGTACAATGAAAGTTACCTTTTAGGGGATAGAGTGACAAGATATACTAACTTTAAGTTTGTTCAAGGTATGCATGTATGATACCGATTATATTTTAACAGAAACCTAAAATGATTGAACGATTGCACCAGGCATCTACGAGATGGGAAAGTTGAGAAGTCTTTCTCTTGGTCCAAATCTCATGTGTGATCCATGCAGGCCCCTCCATAGGTGATGACCCACCAGGAAGCTCATTATGCTTGCTGTCTAGGCAGTGAGTTACCCTGTTCTGGAGGGAGTTGCAGTCAAGGACTTGGCTTCCCACCTCCAGAGTAAGCAGGCACCTACATGCTTCTGAGGTACTTCAGCTACGACCTCTGTTTTGGGGACCTTTGCTGAGCTTTCGTTCTCAACTTTCTGTCTAATAGTGGCTCCTTCAGCAAATAAAGGCGTGAATTTTATTTGCTCGTTGGTTCCGTACCCTAATTGAACACCTCAACACCTGGTTGCTCAACGAAAGGCAGTTGGGTAGAGGACATAGAAGATTCCCAGGATGGGAACATACTTACAACGATCGAAGAATATGCTTTATTCGTGTGTGTGTTGGCGAAACGTGTGGTACTGAGTTTCTGTTGAAGACTACGTATGAGATCTCTGGTAGTTGCCACTTTTTGTTATTTTAGAACGTAATGCTCAAGACATATTTGTAAGCCTGCTGTGTGTATTTTTGCTTGTTGCTTCTTTTTGACAGAAACACAAACCACCCTAGGAAATATAACCATATCATGCTGACCTATGCGAAGAATGAATGGAGAGATTCATTCATACAGGCAGCCTCAGTGTGTCCGGGAGGACTGTGGAGTAGGAGTGGGGAGAATGAAGAAATGGGGAGAAAAGAAATCTCATTTGTCAAAACCAATTGAGAGGTTGTATCCCAGACCTCAAAGGCCTTCGAAGGCCTGCTGTAACACAGATTATGTCGGAACGCTGGCCTAGTGATTCAGCTCAGATCCTGGGTCTGCTTTGAAATATTTCTTCATACACTGTCGGGATTTTCTGTGATTGGTGATTTGTACTTCTTGGGTTGGCAGTGATGATGCATGCTTAAGCATATGTGATCTGAACCTGCAGGCCCAGGTTCAAATCCTGACTCTCACATTTGTTTTCTGTATGAATTGGGGCCGAATTAAGGCATAGGAGGGCCATAAGCACTGATACTCTTTGGTGCCCCTACCTCTGCTTGTACATTCGAACAGGATATGGGCGTTAAATATACAAGGAGTTTTTAAAAGTTCATGGAAAAGTTCCATTATAGTTTCATCCCATTTTCCCACAACATTGTTGAAGCCCCCTTGTATATGTGTGTGTGTGTGTCTGAAGCTATCTATAATGTAACTTCTTTTTTCATTGTCATTATATTAACAATTGAATCCAAAAGTGGTGTGTATACCAATTTACCAGAATGAAATGAGCTGGATGGTGGAATTTTAGGTGGATGCAAGGTACTAAGATTTTTTACTGTATACCACATTTTCTGTAAACACTATTCCACAGTATTATATTATTATCCATGTTGTTAAAGTGCTGTTGAGTTGGTTCAACTCATAGCGACCCTGTATAGGGTTTCCCAGGAACAACTGGTGAGTTTGAACTGCCGATCTTTAGGTTCAAATCAACCCGGAGGTCAAGTGCTCATCCTACAGTGCCACACTGAGACTCCATTACCCATGTTAGTATTATAGTAAATGTATGCTAGATTGTATCCACATGTATGATAAACATATTTTAAAGTCAAAGATATAAATCTTGTTCTTTACAAAACTTAGGGTATGACTCTGTAAATGCTGTATAGTTAAAAAGTAACTTGACAAAATGCATTGCAGCGGTAGTCTGATTTGAATTTATTTACTTTCACGTGCCATCTGGGAGCGGAGTTCTCCGTGGGTTGTTTACTTTGTGTTTCTATCCAGGGAAAGAGCTGGTTCTCCTGACTGCAGTGGCTGGATCCGTGGATAGACATACATAAAACAGATCTCTCAAAATGCATCAGAGACCAGATATTGGTTACTAATCTGTCCTTACCCAGTAGCCATTCATGTTGGATCCAGTTGCATATTGGATGAATGAATGTAGCAAGAGTTAGACAGCCCATCCCTACCTCTTTATTAGGAATCGTGTACTCCCAAGAGATCTGCCAAGGGACTGAGTTTCAGTTCAACAGGAGGGAACCGGAGGACACAAATGTCAACAAAGATGCTAACGTGGGGGGAGGAGCCTCCCAGCATAAACAGCCTTGGGCGTGGGCTCCCTAAACTTTATTTCTGCCCGGCACACTGACATACTGGAGCTGGTAGGAGCTCCATTTAATGTCTCCCCGCTCCCCTCCACTGCACTGCTTCCTTTTCCTTGTGTCCCGTCTGCTTGGCATCTACGGGTCTGTGCTTTGGGCAACGGGTCTGTGCTTTGGGCAACGGGTGCCCTCGTTTTGATGATGCGTTGAGCACGTACTTATCTGAAAGTAGTGTCGCATAGGCAACCCTGTGTGCCTTCTGCCCTCATGAAAATGGTTATAGTTTATCTAAAATAATACTTAAACATGTTAGTCAGCTTAGAGTACTTGGTATATTAATTAGCATAATCACAAAGTTTTCAGAGGAAAATTACATGGTCACCATATGTTACTTACTTGTACAGTCTGCTTTAACAAAATGGGAAAACGGTTTTGCACACTTGGAGCCTTGAATCATGCTGCGCTAATTACTACTTCCTGACACAGTATACTGACATAATCATGGTGCAAATACAATGGTAAGTACACAGGACTGTTCCAGTTTATACATACATTGGTATCGTCCACATAAAATGTGTTTAAATATGTTTCCCTGATCAGTGGATGGCTACAGACTCGTTTGCTCTGTAACACGGTTGTCTTAGTCCCGTTAGGGAACCTTCAGAAAAATGTCCATTCCAAACAGTAGGTTTCAAGGAGCTCTGCAGAACCAATAAGATCTAAGGCAGAGAGCTCAGCTCAGAAGGTTATGGGGACTGTTGGGATTCCAAAGGGATAATCTTGATAGAGTTTCTTGAACCACACAGGTTGATCATTGGGGCTTAATAGGGAGAAATTTTAAGAAAATGGAAAACAGAATTTGAGACAAAGAGCAGACAAGTTGTGCCGAGGAGTCGTTTCATCCCAGCAGGGCAGCTGCTCATGCCTCCACAGTAACAAAGGCTGTCCTGAGAGGATTTCACGGGGAAACCCTGCCCTGCCCTGGTCACGCCACAGCCCTTCGGA